GGGCTATGGAGCGGTGACGAGTCTCTATGGCAGTCAGGGTGTCAACAAAGTCGGTGAGGGTGAGAGCAGCAGGATGGATGCTAAGAAACTGGTCGCGGGCGGCGGCAAGGCGGTCAGGGAGGCGGGTGGCAAGGAGGTAGAGGGTGGAGGTCATGGGAGGCTGGTGGACTCTAAGCTGTGCATCAGTGCAGGCAGCACGCCAGGCCTCATCTATCGAGCGCAGGTGGGCAGCGAGGTCAGAGACAGTGGGGAAAGACGCCAGGTCAGGAAAGAGCAGGGGGAGGATCAGGCGACCCACTGAGGCAGCAGGAGGGGTAGAATAGCGCTTGATGACAGCATCAAGGTAGGCCTGGGCGGTAGTAATGGTTCTAAAGCGAGGGCGCTCAGGGGGGGGGAGGGCATTGCTAATGGCGAGCTGAGCAAGGGCATCGCGGGAAAGCCAGACAGAGCGGGCAAGGGCAGCAGCGGCAGCGGACTCGCGCTCAGCGGGCGTGGGATCAGCGGGCAGCACAGCAGGGGGGTCAGGGCAGGGGAGCATACCGTCTAGGTGTGCAGAAAGCGGGTGGCCGTCCTGCCGCTGGCCAGTGAGGTGGCGGCGAAGGTCAGCCAACCACGCCTCGAACTCCAGAGGCTGACCCTCAGCATCAAAACGAAGCTCAGCAGCCATGAGGGGCAGTGGAGGACAGTGCAGTGCAATGCAGTGCGGTGCAGTGCGATGCAGTGCGGTGCAGTACGGTCCAGTGCGATGCAGTGCGGGCGGTGCGGTCCAGTGAGGTGCAATGCGGTGCAAGGCGGGGCAGGAAAGTGAAGGAGGGTGCAAAGTGGTGCGGGGAACGGGGGACAGTACCAGGAAGTATGGAGGGCCGGGGAAGGCGCGTCAGGGCCGGGCAGGCACGACAAAGCCGGGCGGCGGCGACGGGGCCGGGCGGCTGCGACGGGGCCGGGCGGCGGCGACGGGGCCGGGCGGCAGCGACAAGGCCGGGCGGCGGCGACGTGGCCGGGCGGCTGCGACGGGGCCGGGCGGCTGCGACGGGGCCGGGCGGCAGGGACGGGGCCGGGCAGGACACAGCAGGGCCGGGCAGGGGCGACGGGGCCGGGCGGCTGCGACGGGGCCGGGCGGCAGCGACAAGGTCGGGCGGCAGGGACGGGGCCCGGGCAGGACACAGCAGGGCCGGGCAGGGGCGACGGGGCCGGGCGGGCGAGCAGGGGCCGGGCAGGGCGACAGGGGCCGGGCAGCCGCGACAGGGGCCGGGCGGGCGCCACGTGGCCGAGAGGCCGCGACGGGGCCGAGCAGGGGCGACGGGGCCCAGGAGGGGCTCGACGGGGCCCAGGAGGGTAGCTACGGGCCCAGGAGGGGCGCTACGGGCCCAGGAGGGGCGCTACGAGCCCAGGAGGGGCGCTACGGGCCCTGGTAGGGGCGCGAGGGGGGGCCTGGGAGGGGCGCGACGGGGCGTGGGAGGGGCGCGACAGGGCTGGGGAGGGGCGCGACGGGGCCTGGAGGGGCGCTACAAAGCCCAGGTAGGGGCGCGACGGGGCCTGGGGGGAGCGCAATGGGGCCCAGGAGGGGCGCTACCGGGGCCTGGGAGGAGCGCGACTGGGCTAGGGAGGGGCGCGACGGGGCCTGGGAGGAGCGCAATGGGGCCCAGGAGGGGCGCTACGGGGCCTGGGAGGAGCGCGACGGGGCCCTGGAGGGGCGCTACCAGGCCCTGGAAGGGGCGCGACGGGGCCTGGAGGGGCGCTACGAAGCCCTGGAAGGGGCGCGACGGGGCCTGGAGGGGCGCTACGAAGCCCTGGAAGGGGCGCGACGGGGCCTGGGAGGAGCGCAATTGGGCCCAGGAGGGGCGCTACGAGGCCTGGGAGGAGCGCGACGGGGCCCTGGAGGGGCGCTACGGGGCCCAGAAAGGGGCGCAACGGGGCCCAGGAAGGGGCGCGACGGGGCTAGGGAGGGTCGCGACGGGGCGAGGGAGGGTCGCGACGGGGCTAGGAGCACGACGGGGCCCAGCTAGGGGGCGAGCGGAAGCGTGAGGGGGGGGGGGGGGGGGGGGGATCCTACCTACGCGTGATACCATATCAAACAGTGAAATAGATGAATGAGAGGAAGAGAGTACACAAACATATACCTAACAGTTGTACTCTCTAGAAGATGACCCTATACAGTCTATACAAGCATGATAACTAAACATGTTTGACATGTACCCCCTACAGAAAGGTTCAGTAACAACCTACCAAGCCTATATTAAATTAAAACATATATAATTTGAACATCTACTTCTAGTTCATTATCCAGTTCTTACTTTCACACGTTCGACCTCATTTGTCGGCCCAACCCTTTTCCGCGCCGCGTCTAGCATTGTCGCCATATTGCCAAACCTATCCAAGTTTCGAGGTTATCGCCCTAGCACGCCAACCCTTATATAACATCGTGTCTTCATTGCAATAGCGACATTGTATTCTCACGTTATATTTCATTGATACTTCCTATATCATTACAGTTGGGCTGCTTAGGCGAAGGTGTTTGCTTGCCTTCGACTAATCACGAGCCTCCTTTTACAGCCACCACGTCATTGTTCAGTTTCATCCGGGTGCATGGGGTTACCCAATTTTTCGCTCCGAAACTGCTAGCAAAAACACTCGCGCCTTGCAACTTGCGATCTGGGCTTTAAGGGGAAAATGCCATTTTTCTAGCTACTAAATATCCTCTGCTATTTTATTGCCTTCTTGTTTCCGAATTGGCATGTAGCGACTCTCATATTATGAGGGCACTGGCTTAGGGCTATTGTTTTGTGTGCTCTACAGCTCCCCCTAGAAATTGCGTTCCATCCAAACCTTCCCAAAACCCATCCCAAAGCAGTCGAATCTCGGTCAAACCCAGACAAACCGCGTCGAATTTTCGTCCCAGTCCCTGTCCAGGGCTGGAAGTGACGACAAACGATTTCGACATGTGGGACCTGGTCCTTTTCGCGAAGGGCAGCGGGAAGGCTGGATGGCTGGTGCTATGTTTTCCCCACAACTATACACTCTGCGCACGTACATCTTGCGATGTTTGCAGAGATGATTATAGATGGATGTGTGATTCAGTGAGGCTACTGGAGGGTTCCGAAACCCGTTTTGGAGTCTTTGTTACAAGGACAGCTGCTGATGTGACGGCATCCTGCTTCTTGAACAGCCGACACTTACTGTACTCGGTTCTGATTTCAGAACACGCCCTCATCCTCTGCAAAGTAGTGTTTTCCAAAACTATGTCAGGGGTAGCCCCCAAATGACCCTATCACCAAGGCAAGCACCTCCCTGAATGGCATGGGGTGATGGGATGGGACGCGAGTTTGCCGCGCCGCAGGATGGGTAAGGGAGGTGCTCAGGGGAAAATTGAGGACCATTCCTGCGTCGTGTCATCCGCGGACGTCAGACACACGAAGACACTGGAGTGGTGGGAGATTTTCCAGTGTCGACGACTTTTGTCGGTGAAGCGAACAAAAAAATCACGGTTAGCAGGTTGGCCAAGCGCTCATATGGTTGTCGCTGAGGAGCACTAAAGACGAAACGCCTAACCCAAAGTGCACTGTAGGCTAGCGTTCAGGTCCATTTACGAAATGGCAACCAATGAAATGCAAGAAATGGCAGCAAGAAATGGCAAAATTGGGTGTGCAAATATCGCCTACGTACTGAAATTCAACGCAAAAACAGCGATTGCCACAAATCTGGGCAGGCTCGATTTCATGAAAAAGGGCGGCACGCCAGTACCGTTTTTGTCGCATTGGGCTCGAGGTACTGTGTTGTGGGGTCGCATCTTCGGTTCAGCGACGTTTAGCCCTCGGAAATTGTCACACATCCGTTTTAAGGGAACACACCCAGTCAGTTCCGAAGTCGCGCAGTTTGACTACGAAGAAACCAGGTTTGCCCCAGAGCCGGAAGACACCCGCGGATGACACGACGCAGGAACGGTCCTGAGCAATGAGTTTCAGGGACCAACTTGTGAGAGCGTGTCCACCCAAACCAAAGTTGGCCGAATCTTTGAGAATCTCCCGGTAACCCGTATCACGGTGCTAGTTCTGCGTTGAACCTACTGTATTTGCAACTCAGCAGCTTTTCGAAGGACTGGCGCGTGTCAGTTGGCGTTGGTTTGGCAACTCTACTCTCTACGGTACAGTGTACCCTCTTATTCATCCCGCCTCATCATCCTCTTTGCTCCATTCCTCCATTCCTTCCCTCCTCTTGTCATATACTCTTCCTCCATTCATCATCATCTACTCTTCCTCCATTCCTTCCCTCCCTTTGTCCCTTCCAGGGTCCTCGCTAGGGCATTCCGCAACGAAACGGGACTGCCCCCAGAAGTACCCTTTAGCGGACGGAATCTCGGAAACTTACCCATTTGTGAACGGTTTCGTCGAAGTACTACTCTTTTTTGTTACACTTACCAATATTATAAGCACGGCTAAGGATGTGAGGGTCATTTGCAACATGTCAACATGTCTCAGTTTAAGAAACACTTCCCCCTACACACCACCTAGGGAGTGAACTGTTTCCCTACGCTTGTCAGTCAAGGGACGGAAGTGATCGCCACTAACAGTTTTCGCTCTACAAGTAGACTCCGTACGGATTCAAAGGAAAATATCCCTTGATGCCAATGAATTACACGAATCCTAATCCTTCAGGTGGACGGAATCAAGGAAAGTTCACTCTGTAAAAAGCGGGGAATCAGGCGGGAAAATACTCCTGCTTTCTCTACATTAAGGGTAATTGCCCTGTTAGGTAGAAGCCTGGTCCCTCCCTCTGTCCCTCAGGGCGTGTCCAGCGCGTACGTTTCATTGCGGTAGGGTAAGGTGCCTCACGGATGAGAAGGATTGATAACAAATCTAGAACGATTAGGTAGGGTTTTGACAAAAAAACGTACGTGCTGGACACGCCCTCACTCTGTCCCTCCCTTCTCCCCACTATCCCTTCATTCCCTTCTCCTCCTCCCTCCCTACCTCCTTCCCCCCTCACCTACGGCGTGGAAGAGACAGAAGCAGCTACAGAGTGATTCCACGGATGCACCTAGTTACTGTACCGTACGGGCTCTGTTGTGATTCCGCTTTGGCTGATGAATCTTGGGAGGAGCATATGGTGTGGTGGTGGTGGTGACTGCTGAAGGAGAGGTCGGAAAAAACGCCAGATCACCCCTCCCTCCATTCCACCTGCTGTACAGCACATACGGTGATCTTCAACTCCCATTTCCCGAAAATCAATTCCAATTTCCCGAAAATATTTCCATCTGAGGTAGGGTGTAGACTCCAAGGCCTTGCGAATTCCGAAGAGTCGCCCCTACATATTTCGGGCACTACACATTTACACGGATGATGCAGTAGTGGCCTGTCGGAATCAGCTTTGGGTGACTTACCTCCTTAGGACGCGCTTCCACCAGTCCTAGGGAGGTAGCCACTAAAGACATGCCTTCACGTTAATGTGTTTTTTCTTTCTTTCCCGCTCGCGATCAGCGACAACGCTGTGAGTGCGCCGGCCAAGTCTCGTGTTTTTTCTGTTTTTTTCGTCTGCGGCATTGACCCCTCGTTTGAGGCAGCGACGGATATGCTGTTCTTGTAGCGAGGGCTGCAGTTATGGTAGCTGGGGGCACGGCCGTCGTCTCTATTTCCGCTTCCTTCTCCACGGCGTCTCCCGCGTGGGAGCAGCACAGTCAGGCGCAGCTTCCCCCTTTCTCCGCCACTCCTTCCGCCGTCCCTTCCGCCACTCCTTCCGCAGCCCCCTCCGCATCCGCTTCCGCCAACCCTAACGCATCCGCGGACATGACTCCCCGCCCAGCCCCGCCAATCCGCTCCACCAGTGAGGGCGGCGGCGCAGTTCCCGCCGATCGTTCCGCTCCCCCAGGAGTCGGCCCCTGCGCGGACGCGGAATGCGCACGCGGGGGTCTAAGCCGCGGAGAAAGTACCGGCGGAGCATGCGGAGTAGCGCGCCGTTCCGCGGCTGGCGCAGGCGCAGGCGGCGACGCGCAGCTGATTTTTTACGTGGGGCTGGCGCACCGGGGGGTGGTGCTGGCCGATTATGGGAAGCAGAGGAAGCTTCTACGCAGCCTCGTCGCGTCAGCGCTCCTCGAGATTCCCCGCCACGTCAGCAGATACTCCATGGTACGGTCGCATTCCTTCTCCCGCCTGCGCCCTTTTCTCCCTCCTTGGTACTCCATAGTACGCGTCGCCCGCGTTCCTTCTTCCGCGTTCCTTCCCCCGCACGCGTTCTTTCATCCGCCGGTCGCGCTTTCTTGCGCCGTTTCTCGCGCCGACTTTTCCGGACCGCGAATTCCCGCGCGCGGTCTCCGTCGTGGTTTGCGCCGCTTCTCGCTCTCCGCCACGCCCCACGCGCCTCTCGCGCCCCAATCTGAGGCGCCTCAAAAGTAGAATCCGCGCCCCACGCGCCTCACGCGCCTCACGCGCCCCACGCGCCGCATCCTCGCATTCCCTCTCCGCCGCGCCTTACGCGATTCATCCTAACGCGCGCGTGTGAGGGTGACGGAGGACGTCCACGATTCATTCTCGTGGCTCGTCCTCCCTCCCCTTGCTCGCCCCCTTGCTCGCCCCCTCTCGGTTCTCTCACCTCTTTTCTTCCCGCGTTCGCTCCTCTCTTCCTCCCTACGAGTTTCGAGATGTCTCATAACTCTTCCCTCTTCCTCCCTATGCTTTCTTCCGCCTCTTTCTCCCTACCGCCACCCCTCTTTCCTCTCCGCCTCCCCCTTGCCCTCTCTTTTTCCCTCCCTCACCATCCTAGGGGTACGGTCGAACGAACGTCCTGTTTGCCGTCGACCAATCAGGCCTCGCCACGTTTGTGGTCGCTGACGTGGCTCTGGACCGTCCACGCGCCTACTCCATCCTACACAGCATCCGCTGTGCTTATATCGAGATCTGCTCGCTCTCTGTTTCCCCCTCCCCCTCCTCCCCCCTCTTTACTCTCCGCTCCGCCTCCCCCCCCCTCTGCTCCTCCTTCGCCCTTCCGCCTTCCGCGCCCCGCGCGCTGTCCCCTGTCTCCGCCCGTCTCCCCCCTTCCCCACCGCTCCCCGCGTCCCCTCCCCCGGACACCCCTCCGCGTCCCGCCACCGCCGATCCCGCGTCTCTCCGCGCCATCGCCAGGCGATTGGCCAGCGGCGCGGGCCACGTCAGCAGCTCTTACCGTGGCGGCAGCAGCAGCTCGTGCCACGTCAGCGGCGCCAGGAACAGCCATCGGCTGAGTCACAGCAGCCGGGGCGGCGGCAGCAGCAGCAGCGGCAGGGAAGTGGTGAATGCGGCGAGGGACGGTAGCGTGGGTGCTAGCGGTAGTGGCGAGAGCGGTTGGAGTGGTGGTAGTGGCACGTGCTACAGCAACGGGGGAACGTGCGAAGGCGAAGATCCCCAGACGACCCACGTTGAAGCGGAGGAAAGGGCGGAACAGGAGGCAAGGGTTGAAGAGGAGGAAAGGGTGCATGAGTCAATGCCGCCGAGCGGGGAAGTTTTTGAGAATTCTCAACGATCCACTCAAGCGCAGCCTGCTCATCACGAGTCGATGCCGCCGAGCGGGGAAGAGGCGACTCAAGTGCCAGTGCCACCACTACCACTGGAGTTACAGAAGCGGAACGGGGGGGATCTCCCCCGCGCTGACTGTCTCTCCAACGGCCGCTCTCCCAGCCGCGCGCCTGTCTTCCTGCGCTCGAGATCCGCGCGCCACTCGCACGTGATTGTACACGAGGCGCTGGAGCCGCGCCTGGAGGTGATTGTATGGAGCGTGCGCGGCAGACTCACGCCCAAGGAGCGGCTGGAGTGCTACCCCGACGCGCCTAGAGCCTACCTTGTGAGTCTTAGCCAGGGGGGGGGACCAGGGGGGGCGGCGGATCGGGGGAGAGTGGGGGGAGCGGGAGGGGAGGGAGGATGCGGAGGGGGTGGGGGAGGAAGAGTGGGAGGGGGAGCGGGGGAAGGGGGTGATAGCAGCGGCAGCAGCAGGAGCGTTGGGGGTGGGGGTGGGGGAGGGGGGTTAGGGGGGCTTGGCGGAGCGGGCGGAAGGCGGATGAGCGCGCGGGAGAGCCTGCTGAGCGAGCTGTCGGACGCGCTGAGGGGGGTGGAGGAGGGGGAGATAGGGGAGCGGCGCGTGGTGTCGCGGCACCGCGCGCGCAGGAACTCGCGGTCCACGTCGTCCCTGGAAATGGACCTGGCCGTTGCTGACCTCCCGCCTCGCGCTGCTGCTGCTGCTGCTGGTGGCGGTGTTGCTGCTGATTTTGCTTCTGCCGACGTTGCTGCCGCTGCTGGTGGTGTTGGTGGTGGTGCGGCTGCTGCTGCTGCTGACGCTATCACCGGCGCCAGCGCTGCTGCTACAGGCGCTGCTACAGGCGCTGCTGCAAGAACTGGTGGCAGGGGCGTGTTCGCAGGGGGGTACTACCACGCCCCGCGCACCATAGCAGGGATGGACGTGTGGGACGAGGACGACGGGTATGGCGACATGCCCTTAGGGGTATCCGGGCGGCTCTACTCCTCAGCGGGAGGGGGCACGGGCGAAACGGGTTTAGGGTTTGGTGATGTGAGCAAATCGCGCCCGTTTCCGGCCCGGTTAGCTCACTCTGCGGCGTTCCCCATGCCGCAGCAGAAGAGCAGACTGCAGGGATCCCAGGGGGGAATAACGTGCAGTGGTTGTGGTGATGCTGTTGCTGCTGCTGATGATACTGGCAGCAGTAGTGGTGTTGATGGTACTGCTGCTGGTGGTGGTGCTCTCAGTACTGGCAGAATCAGTAACGGAAGCAGTGGGAGAATCAGCACAGGCAGCACCAGCAGCGCTACCAGCACTGTCAGCACTGTCAGCACCATCAGTATTATCAGCAACCGCAGCAGCCTTAGCACCAACAGCAACGGCACCACCAGCAGTAGCCGCAGCAGCAGCAGCTACGAGCCGAGCCTCAACCACTCAGCCTTCTCCATGCCCTTTCCTTCCAATCCGCTCGCTTACTCTCCCTCGCCTCCCCCCCCTACCACCAACCACTCCTTGCCGTCCCCTCTCAACCCTTCTCTCCCCCTCCACCCCTCTTTCCCCCTCCACCCTTCTCTCCCCCCCAAGCCATCCCCCTCCGCCTCCCCCTCCCCCTCCCCCTCCCCTCTCTCCAAGCCTCCCCTTGCTCCTCCTTCCGCCACCTCCTCCCCATCCCCTTCCCCTTCCCCTTCCCCGTCCCCCTCCCCCTCCCCTTCCCCCAGCGCCATTCTCCATCCCCACCCCCCTTCTCCCAGTTACCAGACCCCCGCCTCGTCCCCCCTGCTCCCCCGGCCTCTGCCACTCTTCCTTCGGTTTCCCCTGCCGCTGCCACTGGCATTGCTCCTTCAAACCGCATTGCGCCTCCCTCCACCGCTGCCATGCTCCCGTCAATGCCGCCCCTTCCTCCTCCCTCCGCCCCTCTGCCTGTGCACCGCGCAACGGCGGGCTCTGACTACGAAGCATGGGTGGGTGACAGCGGCGCGTGGGCGACCACCGCCAGAGGGGATGGCCGGTTCTGTGCTCCTCCTGTGTCTGTGAGCACTCAGGCTGCCATGCTCCCACCAACGCCCCCTCATCATCCCTCCACCGCTCTGCCTGCTGCCCGCGCAACCGCTGCGTCTGACTATGAGGCGTGGGTGAGTGAGAGCGCCGCATGGGCGTCCGCCGGTGGGGATGGCCGGCCGTTTGCTTCTGTGGCGGGAGCCACACAGGCTGGGCCAGCAGGTTGGCGGGGGGGAGGCGGTGGCATTGGTGGGGTGGCAGTGGCAGCAGGGGCAGTGGGAGCAGGAGTGGCAGCAGGAGGAGTGGCAATGCCATTTGCACCGGCGTCACAGCAAGCACTGGCGTACATTGGACCGCAAGGGTATTATGAGGATGAGGGGGAGGTCGATGGGTATGGGGTAGCGATGGATGGTCGTGGTAACAGGGTAATGGGTAACCCGACCCCTCTGCTGCCGCTTTCCGCTCCTGTCTACTCGCCCTACCCCCCCTCTTTCCTGTCCTCAACTCCCATGGGCAATGCGCACTACAGTAACGCTGCTTATAACGGACATGGCTACAGTGATGCTGGTTACAGTAACGCCGGCTACAGTGACGCGCAGGCGAGCGGGCAAGAGGGGTACAGGAAGGGGAACGATGGCCAATGCAAGCCCAAGAGCATGCATGTCCGACACGTGTCGATGGACGATCAGGGGGACCTAGATGTCTCAGACGCTGCATGTGGGGGGAGGGGGGGGGCTGGCGGAATGGGAGCAGGAGGGTCCTCCTCTACTGGTGGTAACCGGGTTACCAGGACACGAGCGAGTGGGGGGAAGGGAGGTGGCGGGGAGGGGAGGTTTGGGGGGGTGAGGGGAGGGGTGCATGTGCGCTGGTCGACAAGGGGGGGTAGGGGGGAAGTGGGGAGGGTGAGGGGGACCAGCCCGATGTCTCCTATGCTGAGGAGTGCGTGGAGGATGATCCGGAGCAGCTCGCTGAGTGAGAGGCAGGGCGAAGGGGACGAGGCGAGCGCTGCTGCAGCCGCTGCAGCCTCTGGTTCCGCTGGTGCGGGTGTTGATGCTGCCGATGCTGCGGGCGCTGGTGCTGCTGATGTTGCTGCTGGGAGTGCTGGTAGTGCTTGTGGTGGGGGGGTGTTGGGGGCGGAGCGGGAGGGGGGAAAGAGGTGGCTGCTGGGAGTGGGGGGGGGAAGGTCCTGTGGAGTGGGTTGAGGATGAGGCGGGAGGTGGGGGGAGGGGGGAGTGCGCATGGGGGAAGGGTGTTGGATGTTACCCCACCAGTGACACCACCTGGGGTGACGACTACACCCGGAGCACAATGATCTAGGGCGTGTTAATTATAATTTGGGTGTGTTCGGTTCGGCTTGGCCGTGTGTCAAACAATTGCAAACATTTTTCTAGAAGATAATATACTACAGGCCGGAGGAAGAGGTAAAGGTAAAGTTGGTATGCCTTCATGCCAATGCCATGCCATGCCGTGCTTTGCATATGGTGTAACAAAGTGCTTGATAGCACAGTGGAAGTCTTGATGAACCCTTGTGTTGGTACAGTATGTGAGAACAAGTGATTGATTATAGCAAAGGGACACAAAGATATATATATATATGTATATATATATAGATTTTTTTAAGTGTGTAACACTTTCTAAAAATGTGTGTTTCCCAACAGTGTTTGTTTAAGGAATTACGATTCCTTACTGGGGGTCGCCACAGCGAATACACGCGAACCTCTCGGTTCCACAGGCTCGGCCCTCAAGTCACGCGCCAAACCAGCCCCTGTCGACCTTTTCGGCCCCAACATGATCCCGAGTCGCCCCGAACCCATTTTGACCCCGTCACCCTCGAGACTGTCGAGCCCTTGACTGGTCCAACCCTCGACATTCAACCTTGGTCAACTCGCCCTATATATTGCCTAGGCCTCACTTCTATCGGCATTCTGTAATCGCGTTCCCCTACAGTATTCTGCGCTATACTCTAAGTTATAATTCATAACAGCTGGTATCAGAGCTACGTTCCTGCCTATTAGGCTTCCGGTAGGGGAGCAGACCCTATCGGGGAAGGGAGCGTAAGGATGCTGATGGCGAGCGGACATCGCGGAGATTAATTGCGCGAGCATTGCCGATGCCGTCAGATCCTGTCCGATGGACGGCTGGGATTAGTCGGTCCTCCCCTTCCCCGAGCGTAGACAGAATTATTTCCCGTCGAAGAGTGGGCGACGTTTTCGCCGTGTTTTTTTGGTATGTTCGTTAGAGCTTTCGTAATTTTCGAGTGTTCGGACGGAGTCTTCGGATTGGATTCCGAAAAAGACGAAGGCTTCGTTATGAGGAGACAAGTGCACGGGAGTCCTGAGGCGGCCGGGAGTTGGTCGTTAGGAGCGCGCGAGGTGGCGAAAATGGCGGGACGTACGGCGATGTATGTATGGAACGCCATGGAGCGGCAGGGTGAACTGTAGCTATGTCGCGGGTCCCAGCGTTTCCGGCAAGCTAGTTGCAGGCGATGGACGGGACTTCAAAACTGTTTCGCCAATGGGCGGATGCGACAATTTTGGAACGACACGATCGCACGAAGACGTGTGGGTGTGCGGTTGTGTGGGAGCAACTGGGATTAACGACCTCGGTGCTATTCACCGCGACGGCCATCTGGAGGTGATGACCCTGTGCTGGAGTGAGTGTACTCAGCGAGGGCGACTTCCCGCGTGGGGAGGCGTTTTTTGTGAACTAGCGATTCATACCCCCACGATCAACGGAAACAGAGGCCACCACCCTTGGGTGTGCTGATAGAGTGTCCCAGAAAATTTCGGAGTTACTGTTGCTGTGAAGCTAAAGGTTTTTACCTGGTGCAGCAGAAAGAGGTTCCGACTTTTGCGGGTATAGTTTGACGAGTTTCCGATGGAGGAGGGTGTTGTCCAGCGGTCAGTAACAAAACATCATGCCGAGGCAGTGGAATCCGGTAAACCCTAATATAAAGGGTTCAGTTCATGCGTACAACTGGTGGAGAAACCGTGGGGGCGTTGCTAAAGGACGCCGTAACGCCTGGGCATTTTTAGGGGTAGCTGTAAAGCGGAGTTACGGTATTTGCTAAGTACCGAGTGGTTCCGACATTTTCGGTGGGTTTGAGGTCCAGTTCAAGAGTTTACATCTGGAGTTGGGCCCGCTATCTTCAAGAGTACGAGCGACATCGACCGACATTTGCGGAGTGTTTTGGTTGTATGGAGAGGAGGGAGAGCAATAGCTATTTCGGTACTTCCCAATTTTTTCGGCGTGTGCGGACAAAGTAGCTGATGCATCTGGCGGCATCAGACCCCGGGTTCGGTTCGAGTTTTTCAACTAGAGTGATTCAGTACATCTTACACGTCATCGCTATTGTCGTCTTCTTCTCGCCATCACCCGCTACCGCCTCCATCGTCAATTCGCGTGATTCGCCCAACTGTGTGAACACGACTCCGCCTCGCCATCCGAATCTACATCAGCAATATTGAAGCGAAAATATTTTGTCGTAATACAGTTGGAGTTGTGTTGGGGCCAGATCGCAAGCAGTGCTCCTACTCGTGCAGAATTTTAAGTTCGTCTGGGAGTCTTCCGGAGCAGTTACTTCTGAGTTTCAAGACCCTTGTAGCGGTTTACCTTGGAGGAGTTTTCCACTCTGAAGCAGTTTGGGAGATCTACATGTTGGTGTATTTTCAGTCGCGTCTTCGCAGCAGATTTCTGGGACTTTAAGAAATCGTGTGGGATTTCTCGCAGTTGGAGTTTTGCAGCGGCATCTTGGACGCTGAGTATGAGAATTTTTGGCAGCAGTGTGGGATCATTTCGACTACCCTGGAGCATTGGGTCTCCTGGAGTTCTGCCTGGAAAATTGGGAGCTCTTTTCTCTTGGAGGGCGGAGAAGGGCAGCTGTGCTGCAATTTTTTGTCTGACCCTTCCGGCGTGTTCCATTATCCATATTCGACCGCCATTCGTCACCGTTACGCTTCCGCGCCTAATTTCATCATTTCGTTGATGGAGTTCGCTGATTTTTTTGGGACACGGACGCGTGCTCTCGCATCTAACTCGAACGACCTCGCGTTTGATGAACGGGTTATTCATTTCATCGACCATCACGCTATTCGCCAGTCATCATTTCAAGATATTCACCTGCCACGCGCCATCGTCAATCGACCACTCGACAAGTTTCACTGTTCATTGTCTTCCCCTGGAGTATTTACATTTGCCCGTTTGGTCGGCTGAAGAATTCGACCATCTTCGACGGCCGAGATTAAAACCGATCGTTTCGATGCCTTTTCTGACCATCGATCGCAGTTCGACTTGAAGACCTCGTCAGGCCGGCGTAATCATTACGCTCGTCACAGGGCTGAAGACTTACGGTCACATCAGGGATAAATTTTAATGACTGTTCGGCCTCGATAAAGGAAGGGCCTTCTTTTAGAAGGTGGGCGAGTGTAAGGTCCACTTCATTCTAGTCACTTGTTCTATGCTAAGATGCAAGCCATCGACATGAACAGCCAGGGAGTAACCGTCTTGGCGCTGACCTGTTAGATTAGGTTAGGTCTGCCCAAGCGCTTCCGCCCTAGCCCCTAGCGCCTCGCTGGCCCCTTAGCGCACCGCTGTCCCCTTAGCGCCCCGCTGGCCCCGTCGAGCCTCGCTAGCCTAGTGCGCCCCGCTGGCCCCGTTCGCGCCCCGCTAGCCCCGTGCGCTCAGCTGGCCCCGTACGCCGTGCTGGCCTCATTCGCATCCCGCTAGCGCCGTCGAGCCCCGCTAGCCCCATGCGCCCCGCTGGCCCCATACGCCCCGCTGGCCCCGTACGCCCCGCTGGCCCCGTACGCCCCGCTGGCCCCATTCGCGCCGCGCTGGCCCCGTCGAGCCCCGCTAGCCCTGTGCGCCCAGCTGGCCCCTTACGCCACGCTGGCCCCTTACGCCCCGCTTGCCTCGTTCGCGCCTCGCTACGTTCGTGCGCCACACTAGCCCTAGCCCGCCGTCCCTAGCTCGCCGACCCCACCTCGCCGACTCTCGCTCGTAGGCCCTAGGTCACCCGCTCGCTCGCCGTCCCTACCGCATCGGCCCCTGTTCAAGCCGGCTCCCGTTCTTGCTGGCCCCAGCATCCCGCGGCTCCGCCGTGCCACTGTGTTGCTGTGCCATCGTGCCACTGTGCCGCCGTGGTGACGTGTCGCCGTGCCGCCATGTAGTCGTGTAGCCGGGCAGCCGTGCCGCTGTGTCGTCGTGCCGCCGTAGCGCTGTGTCACCGTGCCGCTGTGCAGCCGACCCGCCGTGTAGCCGTGTCGTTGTGACGTCGAGGCGCCGTGCCGCTGTGCCACCGTGGTGCCCTGTCGCCGTATAGCCGTGCCGCTGTATAGCCGTGTCACCATGCCGCTGTGCTGGCGTGTTGTTGAGGTCGTGAGATGGCAGACGCTGTGCTCCGCCTGAACGCAGAGGGACGGGCGATCGACTTCGATGCATGGCTTGTCGACCTTCGCCGTCATTGACAGGTCAGCACCAAGACGGTTACTCCTTGGCTGTTCATGTCGATGGCTTGCTTCCCCGCTCCCCCACGCCTGCTGCCCTCCCTGATGCCCCCACCACTGTTGAGCATGAGGCCTTTTCTGCTACTGCACTTCCTTGTGCTATCTGGGAGTCGAGCGACGCCGTAGCGCAGCTTGCCATTAGTCACGCCCTCCCCCTGTTTGAGCTTCCCCGCTTTAACGCTATAACAAACGCCAAGGAATTATTAGAGGCCGTGGTTGCGCACTACTCCATGCTAGCCCCTCCGTCGGCTGCCGCTACCGCTTCGCTCTCTTTCACGCTTGACTCTGGCGCGTCTGCCTGCTTCTTGCGCGACCACATTGCGCTAATGCCGCTTGCCGCCACTGCTGTTGTCACGCTTGCTGACCCCTCCTCAGGTCTGGTAGTGTGAGAGTACGACCCCGTTACACCAATTTCCCCTTTCCATATTTCCTTTCTATTTCATTCCTCTTTCACTCCTCATTCATTTGGTCTTTATCTCATCTCATTTGGTTTCCTATTCCTCATTTTCCATTATCCTTTGGTTTATCATGTTATTATAATTATATCACCGACCAGGCTTGGGATGTATTGGCGCGCTATATCTAGCGTAATCCTGCCGTGATTCCTTAAAGCCAATAGCCTCGCGTGGCTATACGCATGGTGATTCTATTTCTAGAAGGGTCTATTCCCTTCGGATAGGATAAACCTGGTTACCTTATGTACTCTGGAAGTATAAAAGCACCTTGTACTGATTGATAGTGCAACATTGAGCAAACCTTTCCTCGGGACATTCGATCCTGTGACACTTGGTATCAGAGCCAAGGTTTCAGCTCAACGCTTAACCGCTGGGCCCCCAGGAGCACGCGGAGGATGGAGTCGAAACTTCAATTCCTGTAAGTACAATGCACTTTCATTTAAGTTTTGTCTCACCTCTCGCAGTTGCACCTGGGGTCCCCATCGAAGGCGAGATGCCTCGCCAACCGTTCGATGGACTGCATCGACGGTGCCGATTTTTCGCGGGGGCAAATGGCCTCGACCTGGCGAGCGCGTCAGTTCCGGCGGAACACTCCCTGCGACATTCGGAGAAGTTCGCA